CTCCCTGTCCCCCTCCCTCATGAACCCTTGATAATTTATAAATTATTATTATTTTGTCATTTCTTACACTGTCTGACATCTCCCTTCACCCACTTTTCTGTAGTCCGTCCCCCAGGGAGGAGGTTATATGTAGATCCTGAACTGCCCACCTTTCAGTTAGTTAGCAGCCCAGGGCTTTAGCCACGTCACCATCGGGAATCCTCTCTTGAGGGTTTCGAGTTTTCTGGTAGTGTATTGAGGTGGTAGGGAAGGGTTAAGTTACCCTGTTAACTGGGGCTCTGCGGGCTGCCCTGAACCTGGAGTGCCCGTATGATTATCCCGGGTCCTTATTTCCGTAGGTTTAGTTGCGGAGCTCTCCTCAATTGCACAGCTTTATGATCAGAACGTGACGGAAGTGGTAACAGAGTAGGAGAATTGGGTAATTTTTAATGCCAATAGTTTGGTTTTGTTTATGCCGATTAGACTGGTGGTTCTTCATTGGGTGGGCATGTTCATGAAGGATACAGGTCTGTAGTTTTTATTTGGTTTTTCTTCTGATTCTGTTACTGGGATAAAACAAACCAAACACGTTGCCCTTGAGTTGATTTGGACTCTGAGAGCCCAGAGCACAGAGCAAACTGTCCCACAGGGTTTCCACGGCTGTATTCTGAACGGAAACACTGCCAGCCATGTCTTACTCTCTCAGAGAGGCTGCTGGGGTTAGGACTTTTGGTGAGCAGCCAAGCTCTGCACAACCAGGCTCATTTGCATTGGCCTCATAAGAAGAGTTTGGAAGTATTCATAGCTCTTGTTTTGAGGAAGATACAGCTTTGTTCCCTTGCTATTCTGTTGTACCCCCTTAGTTTTTTTGCCTCGGTGTGGCGGGATCAGATCGGGCGTAATGCCCATACTGTGTCTCCAGTATTGTCCCCTGTAGGGCTATGGATCAGTGGGGGATGTCTTGTCTCATAGTGGGGCCGGCCATGTGGTCCTCTCTGTGGACAGGCTGCTCTAATCGGGAACATCGTCCTCATGGCCTGGTGGGCGATCTCATTCTTTGTGCGTGATTGTTAATAGTTTGTGTCTTTCAAGGAACTGGTCGTATTATCTAAGATATAAAACTCATTAACTTAGAGTTATTCTTAATAGTTCTTTATTCTTTGATTACTGTAGCATCAGTAGTAAGAGTCTCTCTTTTTTTCTTGACATTAGGAATGTGTGTGTTTTTTCTCTCCTCTCTTATGGTTCAACCTTAAGAGCTAGAGTGCAATTATATTGATCTTGTCAAACAAAAAAACCCAGTGTTTTGTTTAATTGGTTTTCTCTGTTGTTTTTAAAATTTTTAATTTCAGGTAATATGTTTATTATTTTATTCTGATAACTTTGGGCTTCATTTGACTGATTTTTTTTGTAGTTTGTTAAGGTGGAAGCTTAGTTTACTGATATTAGATCTTTCTAATTTAAACATTTTATACCATCCATTTACCTGTAGAAAAATTACCTGTAATTTTTGAAAAAGAAGATCAAAATTAGAGGACTCACACATCCCAATAATGTGGCACTGGTATAAGGGTAGACATATAGCCTAATGGAATAGAATTGAGTATCCAGAAATTAATTTATAGACACACACACAAAGTGATTTCAAAATATTCATGGAAAATGATGTTAAAATATTTTTCCACAAGGTTTTTGGTGCTCCCATGTAGAGGTCATTTGATACTGGACAAGGGTGAGAAGAACATTCCATGGGAAAAGCAGTCTGTAGGTACATGGGTCAGGAGAAGCCCCATCCTGACATCTGTCCCTCAGACTTGCCATCCTCCACACCTGCACAAGTCATGTTCATGAGAGAATTACCTCTGTGTGTGTATCTTCTTGTATATGCACACGCTAGGGTAAGTAAAAAAGTATTGTCACAACATCAGAGAACCTTCATGAAGCAAGACTCTTCACATGCGAAGCCACTTGTGAAGCTTTTCCTCCATGTAGGCTGTCCAGTTTGAAGGCGGTGTTTCCATCTCTCTTCTTCCCCCAAAGAATCTGTGCTCTTCAGTTCGTGTCACATCAAAATGGTAGTTTTGGTTTTCACGAGGGACTCAGTTTGTGTTCCTGTTAACTGTTCTTTGAGTTTGGAGAGCAGAAAGAAGTCTGAAGGGGCAGAGGAGGCCTGCAGGCGGGGTGGAGGAAGGCTTCCCAGGCGGTGAAACTCACGGGGCACTGCTGTCCTTGTCAGGACCGAGCAGGCTCCTCAGTGCAACTTCCCTGGCCTTTTTCTCACCAATGCAATGTTCCGTTTTCTGGAAATTCATAATAAACCTCCCTGGTCGTTCTCTGTTCTTCAAGAAATTTTGTCGAGATTGCCCCTTTGGGATCCCCCAAAGCAGTCTCTCTCAAGTTCTGAGCGGAGTTCTGACTATCTTGTGGGAGTGACTGTTTTTATTGGGCCTTTATTTTTGAAGCTTTCTATTCCCGTAAAGATGTATAGTTTGTAAACCCATCTGAGTAGTTCTCCTCTGCCTGATACGGTCACTGTGAGATGGAATTCACTCGATGGCAGTGAGTGAGGGATGAGGTATAAAATGTCTTAGAACCTGTCTGCGGCCCACCAATGATTGTTCAAAACATTTTGTTTAGAATAAGCCTGTGCATGTATGCCCTGAAACACTCTGGCAACATTTTTTCACTGACTCTGTACATCAGGTTCACTGGGTCTGCTTTTCTAGAAAACCCAGCCCAAGATAGTGTGCGAAGACTTCAAAACGTTTGTGGAGAAGTTCTGTCACTGTTGCACACACCCTGCAATGTCACTGATCAATGAGTAGATGCATTGGATAGACACACAGGCTGAATGAGTGTGAGAGAAGCGGGGAAATATACCCACGAATATACGAGGGAGCCCCCCCACAAAAAAACCCCAAAACCCCAAAACCCCGGTATTGTGCTGGGTGGAGCAGAGCTTTCGTAGTACGTGTTTTTCCTGCTGGGCAAGCATTGAGCACCCTGCTCCGAGTTAGTGCACCCAGTGGTGTCACCTGGAAGCTTCTCTCTGGTCACAGTGAATTTTTTTGGGTAAAACCAATTTCACTTGAACCTCATTTTTTGTGATGGCTGATTTAACAAAACAACATTCGGCTGTGGAATTTTGTTTCCTGCTTGGGAAAAATGTTGCAGAAACTGTTGTGCTGTTGAACACAGCTTACAAGGACAGGGCTGTGGGAAAAACCCAAGTGTACACGTGGTTTTCTCTTTTCAAGAAAGGTGAAATGTCATTTGATGACAAACCTCGTTCTGGATGTCCATTAACTTCCTGAATAGATGAAAATGTCTACTTGTAGCGCATTTGGAGTTCATTCTTAGAGGTTCTGAAAAGATTACATAACACTGAGACCAAAAGGCCTGATTTGTCGCAGACGGGGGACTGGTTTTGCCACCACAACAATGCACCTGCTCACACATCCATCTCAGTGCACCGATTTTTAGCAAAAACCAGCATGCCTCTCTTACCCCATGCACCTTACTCACCTGACCTCACTCCCTGTGACCTCTCTTTGTTTCCACAAATGAAAACGGACATGAGAAGACAGCGATTTGAAGACATAAAAGAGGTGAAGAAAAAGAGGGAAGTGCTGTCAGCCATTCAAACAGATAAGTTTGAAAAGTGTTTTCCAAGAATAGAATTGCAGATTTGACAAATGTGTGAAGAATAATGGAGAGTACTTTGAAGGT